GTTTTCTTCTTGTCATAGAATGTCTTGTTTTATTCCATCTGTAAGATGTAGAAAACGTTTTTTTTATTGTGTTCTTACAAAAAACGAAAGTAATTTGATACTGATTAGATTACTCCGATTACACAACATGTGTTTTATGCATTATTTTGTACACAAGGTCAGAATGGCAATGGTAATTTATTTGATTGACTTGAACTTTCGATAATTCACTTCACATGTTAATGTCTACTACATCCGTTCGAGTCACCAATTGATTTCTTTTAGTAAAAAATGTGTGCACTATTGAACATAGACAAACGAGTCACCACAGTATTTTCGAAAAAGAAAAAACAGTATGAGAAACGCAGAGTTACAAACAAGAACAATACTATTATCTAATTTGTACAAAAATTCTCTAAGAGAACAGAAAAGTTCTGTTTAGAGAATAACACATGCCTATTGACAGTCGGTTATCTAAACATGTGAAAAATATGAAAAACAAATCCGAGTACAATCTTTTTGGAAGAAAAACACTCTTCTTCATTTAAATAATCTTTTAATAATGCGAGAGAGAGAGAGAGAGAAAACAAGTTTTAATTTCCTAATATTTTTATCCGTATCTCACAGATGAACTTTGGGGATGTGAAAGTAGTCTCATCTAGAATAAACGTTTGATTTCCTGGTGCCATTTATATTGTTGTAAACATTACCATCGGCAAAAATTTGTGATAAACTGTAATGACTAAAAATTGGTATTTGACTAACCACGGACGATGGAGATTTGACTACATCACGACCCTCTGTCGAATTCAAACAATATGCGAGAAAGACTTGTTAGAAAATACTTGATACTTAGCCTTAAAAAGAGAGGAATATAAATAAATTCTTGGTTTCTGTTTAGAAAAAGTATATTACGCTTTATGTACATTCTTAAAACTGTAAAAAATATTTTTTTTACAAAAATCTATTATTCCCTTCTTACAAACACTGTCTGACATTTGTGATATGATTTATTATTAATTACCTACACTGACCGTTCTATATTCATGTGGTATTTGTAGTTTTGTTTCCAACATGTTTATTGCAAGAAATACATAGCAAACACTGGCATTACATCGATCAGTGGTAAAGCTGTTCCTTCACATAAACCAAAAGAACAACCCTAAATTATTGAAGAAAAAAACTATGTGGTATTACGTTAAAAACTGACTAATGTGGTATTACGATTGATAAGGCATTTAGAAACAAATTGATCTTATTATCGTATTACTTGTTCTTGTGCCGAAAAAAACTTTCTTTATTCATTTTTTCTATTTTTGTATTTATTAAGAGTTCTATGGTTATATGTTTAAAAATAAAAATGAATTCGACATTTATTATTATAAATATCATACTTGTTCTGATTTCATTCCTAATTGGTTGTATAACACCATTAATCGTTTCTATTATACGTCACAAATATTGTCAAAGTTTACAAATTGAACCAATAAGCAATGACAATAATGATATTGTCATACAAAACGTTGAACAACAAAAGGAGATAACACCTCAACAGCGAAATGATTCTATTTCTATAGTTGTCACTGAAGCAATTGCAATGAAACAAGATACTGTTCCTCCAATATCACGTTTTTCTAAATCTATTCTATGGAATAATTTATCATACCGTGATTATTTACGACGTACAAATAGTTCCTTTATTGGGTATGATACAGATGGCAGTGAACCAAACATTACTAATATTCAATCACGGCTATTGTACATACCAGAAAGATATCGATCAAGTAAACAGAAGAAATATCCAACGTAGAAGTAATATAAACAATCATAACTTAATACTTCAACTTTCTATGCGTACTCACAAACCATCAAGCACTATAAGAAAGATTTTTAATGATACCGTTTCTAGAATCATTAATAAATCTACTTCTTGACTACCTATCTTTTTTGCGCAATCGAATATTCCAATACATAACAGACTCTGTCCAAGATGTGGTTTCATCACTGTTTAGAAGAAAACCTAAGAAAAAAGAAAAGTTTTGCATTTAAATTGTTATTTCAGATTTGTGTTCAATGGATGCCCACCAAGTATGCTCTGACAGCACCACCGATAAAAAAATCTTCAAGTGAACTCATTTTCTTTGGTGTCAAATTCTCATAACGGCGAAATTTCATTTCTACATGTTTCATTCATGTTGGGTTTATAAATTGAAAGCATCATTAAATATAAGATCTAAATTTTTTAATCGTAATATCACACTTACCCCAAATGGGGTAATTATGATTAGTTGATACCTGCTCGCTGGAAATTGATTAGTACTAATTAATGCTAAACTTTAAGATAATTTTTCCATCGATCGATAGGTAAGATTCAGCTCAACCTATCTGTGAAATATCCCTTTTTTTCGGTGAAAAATAGCTGCAAAGCGTCAAGAATACTCAGAAAACTGTTTACTCTGATCATAATTAGCCCAGGCTATTCTAGATAGCAAGGGAACAAGCCTGTAGCCAGGATTTTGCTAAGGGGTATGCACTATAGATGTAAATCTATATAGTATTTTTTGGTTGTACCGGTTCTGATTTCTAGCAGTTAAATAGTAATTTTTACTTACGGCCTCCCCTGACTACGGGCCTGCAATGGAGTCGTATTTCATCTTTTGGAAGCATGAAATACAAACACATCCCGGATGCGTGATTATGTATCGTTTATTTTAAATGGTTATAAAAAGAAAGAAAAAGTGCAACAAACCTGTTTTACATTGAAAAAGATATAGATAACACCGAAAAAATTTGTTGTAAACAAACTACATATATAAGCAAGGGAAACGCAAGGATCAATATATGAAAAAAGAAATCTACTTTATATATTTGTGTTTAGTTTAGAGAAAAATGCATGTACAATCGCACAAACAGGATGAGAAACAAATGTTGTAATGTAAATGTTCATTCATACAATTCTTCCATAACATTCAAAAATATAGAAACAAAAAACACAAGTGATTAAGTAAAATACACTAGGCGAGAAAAAACATCATACTCATACTCATACGTTTTCATTTCACAAAATAGGATTAAAAAAGCAAACGATTTGTGCACTCAGAATAAGAGGTTGCTGTTTATATTCAAATAATGTTTATTTATCTTTTGATGATTCTTGTTTCTCGCCAGAAAGAATTTCGTGTTTTGTCTAAACAAAGTGACATAGATAACGATAAAAAACGTTTTAAGAAAGTAAATAAACAAAAATACCTTTATTTTACGATGTTCTTCATTCACTAATTCAAGATCTTTCAGACTACTATTGTATCTCTCTTGAAGATCCTTGAGATCTTGTTGGGATTTGTCGAACGCTAGAAAAAAAACATTATTGTTACCTTTTGCTATAGAAAATTATAATATTATTTATATTTTTGTACCCTGTTTAAGTACAGAAAGTTCTGCATCATGTTCGGATGGATCAATATATCGAGGAGCATCACCAGTTGCTACAGGAATATTTTTTTTTATATCGTCTTTCTATAAAAGAATACCAACATGCTAATTATTAGTCAACGTCTTCTCAGACCTACTTAACAATGTTTACCTTCAAATCATCCGATGTTACGGAATCAGCAAAACGGCGGGCACCTTCAGCTTGTTTATGAATTGCTGCTGAATTAGCCATTTCACGTGCACACATCCCCGTTAAACCAACGAGTCGTTTGATAACACTAAAAAAAATCATTTTAAATTCATCCAATATGAAGGTCGTTAGAAAAGCCGAATTAACAGTAATAATTAGCGTATTTCGTTGTAAATTATGCGGAATAAGATGTATTTCATTTAGAACGAATTGGTTATTAACGATGATAAAGTTTATAGTAGATAGCCTTGGCATTAAGCGATAACTTACAACCACAAAAAGAGTGCAAATCCGGCAATATAAAAATTTCTTTGTGATCGAAATTGTTTCATGTGTGCATTTGCTTCACCATGTGGTGTCGCTAAATCTTTAACATTCCATGCTGAATATTTTCGTAATTCGCGTATAGAATCTATTCAAAAAAGTAGGAATAAATGCGATATAAAATATTTAAATAGAAAGTGAACTCTTACCCAAAAATAACAAACCAAATATACATATTATAAAATTAAAATAATATTTAGCACCTGAAATTGTATGAATGAATAAACTGTAGGAGTATCAGTAATTATATAATATAATTGTATATTTACCAGCTGTTAATGCTAGGACCAAACGTGATTTGAAAATTTTTTGCCATCTAAATGAGAGAAGCATTTATTTATTGCTATAGAAATACATATCAATGGATAAATTCTACCTTGCTGGCGAGATGATTGGTAGTAATAATATAATAACTACGATCAATTCGCAGTAGAGAAACGTCGCAAGAAATGTCCATTGAAAACTCATCTGAAAAGCACAAAAACCCAAGTTCTTACATGTGTAAATACCATTTCCTGGTGAATGAATAACATAAATACTAATGGTAGATAAATTAGTAAAAGAATTAAGTGAAGAAAAATTTATCATATTAATTATCATATTATAACTGATGTTTGATGATTCATTGCATCTGCTATAGTGTTGATAAGTGGTGTTGATGCACTTTAAACTTCAGTATGGAAAACTCAAATTTATTGGGTAAAATTCTCAAATCCAAGTTCCAAAGCGAGTATATCTCCCGGCTAGAAGAAATACTTTTTAGAAATAGAATCTGCCAGTTTTTGAACTCGGATGTGAGAATTTCATCGAATAAATTTGAATTTCCTATTCTAAAGTTTGTAGTGCCACTATGGTAGAGGTATTAAAGCCTCAGATCACACATCAAACTTCCCAAGTCAACTGTTACGGCCGTTGTACGCTCACGTCAGGTTGCCTTCTTTGAACCGAAAATAAGTTGCCGAAAATACGAATCCAGAATATATCGAGTTGAGGCATACTTTTCCATTGGTAAATACCCTACAAAAGGGAAAGAATGAAAACGATGTCGCAGAAGTCTGTTTCTCGTTCATAGATCAAAGAAAAAAGTGAGAGAAACTATTCGAACTTTATACAGTTAGATTCAGATTTTTATCTAGATCATGAATATAAGCTTTATTTTGAATAAAAAGCCTTAAATAATTAAAAATTAAGTTTTTAATTTTGTTCCACTCTGAACTATATTAAGGAAGGAAAGAAAACAATTTTCTTTTCTCTTTTCCATGTGCAGCATGACTCTATGATGCCAGGTCCTTGTATAAAAAATCTTTCAGTATGAAAATCCTCAGCAAGATTGTCAACTCTTCCGATTTATCGGAATTTTTTCGATTTTGAGCGCCTTTTCCGATGAAATTTTGGTTTTCTGATTTCTGGAGTTTTTTCTGAAAACTACATATTCGTAGAAGAATTTAGCTGATTAACTTGATGTCATAAAGCTTTTTTTCTCCTGGTTTTGGAGGTTTTTTCGGATCGTTTTCTGATTTTAACTGTTTTAATTAGTGCTGGAGACGACGGCTTCTGCGAAAAAGGCTGACGTAATATCTCCACGTCTGTCCAAAAAGCTGAGTATTAATTGAAATCATTTGTTACATTGATTTGTTTTTTTCTGTTTAGCTCAATTTGTAAAGTATATGTATGAACCGGAAAAAAAGAAGTTTTCTTCTTCAAATACAGTTGAAGTTGAATTTGTCCTTCTATAAACCAAGCCGTACGGGACAAAGAAAGGAAAAAAGCTGCAAATAAGATTCAGTTTTAAAAAAAGTAAAATGTAACCGTTTCTCCTGTTGATATGTTTTGAGTAAAAAACTACGTCTTCTGATTTTTGACACTTTGTTTTTTGATCTTTTTTTCTGATTTCTTAGCTTTTGAATTGGCATCCCTGCTCCCAAAACATATGCTCAAAATTTCTTTATATATTCCTAGAATTTTGAGTTCTATCCTAATCTCAGCGCTTCCCGAGACGACAACGTGTTATCAGGGAGATATGCGTTTTATTGAAATTAATTATTTTTTAATAATAAAATGTTAGTTTCGTTCAAAATTCATTCGATAGAGCGCATGAAACTTAGTATATCCACGCACCCGCCTCTGTCTCGTTTTTTTCAACTATTTCTGAATGAAAGTAAATGTTTTTTGGAGCTGAAAATACGCAGTATAAGTGAGGGATATCCTGGGAGTTTGAACAAATTCTTTTTCAGGGAAACAATTCCGATGGAATGTCTAGAGTTTTTACCAAAATAGCAGTGGTTACTTTTTCAAATATAGTTTTTAATAAAGAACGGATGAAGATCCTTGTTTTTGGTGATTTTATCAGTTGAAGACTGCTTCTTCAGCCTCTACATATATCATCTCGATGCCTCATGTTTTATTCTGTCATTTCTTCGAGAACATGATGCATTCGAGACAGTACATGTAGCACAATGCTCACGTTTCTAGTATAAATGATGAATTCCCTAAATATATTACGACGGCTCAATGGCATAACCAGGAATTTTCACCGGTTGGGCGAACTTAAATTAGATCGAAAAAAAACTGCGTTACCTGCGAAGATTCGAGAAAAAGCACTGGATCAAAAGAATTTTCGAACAGTTGTAGCTGTGAAATCATTGGGAAACATGAGAGACTCTTAGTTTTGCAAGATAAGATGATTGACAATCCCTCAAAAAGTAGTGAATTGTGAGATTAAAGAAAATCATGATAATTTTCTTTTTTTCAAATGTTAAAGCGATAAGCAAAATAAATGGTTTGCATCTATTTTATCATCATTATCATCTTTCCGACTGTGTTTATCAAAAGACAAAACGTTTATTTTTGCTTCGTCTAAAAGATGTACGTAGATACGCGTGTCCTATATGGAATTTTTATATATCTATTTCTTTATACTTGACACAGATACGTGTATTATGTATACACGTGGTCTTTCTCAATCTTTTTTCGTCCGCGTGCTTGATATCTGTATATACACGTTCTATCATACCATACGTAGTTCTATTTTTATAAACGAAAGAGAAGCACAAAACAATCATTACTCACTCTTTATTACGTTGACTAAGAGACAAAAATAGTTAACTCTAATCTAAATTATTTTGAGCGTAAGAAAGTTGAATAGAGACAACTTTATTTTATTTTAGGTTACTTTGTTTGTCACAATATCGTAGATACCTTATTGGTATGTCCACGATATTTTTTTATTTTTTCTTGTGGACGGACAGTGTAAAGTCAAAAAGACTTCTGGCCAGAGCGTTTCACAGCACTTTCATCACCATACCCTTTCGTCATCAAGTAACGATGAACTTTCGTCAGATGATGAAAGTTCTATTTTCAGTGACAAAAATTCATACGGCATGTGGCAAAAGTTTTTTGGGCATGTGGCGAAAGTTTAGCTATGTTTACATAGTGGTTACGAAAATTAAACTTTGTGACGAAAGTGAATTTGTTTTTTAGACAGATCGACACTTTTATCACACATGTTGCATGAAACGACTACGATGAAACCAAGAGTTTAATGCAAAGTTCATTAGTCCAAAGTATTATAGTGCAAACTGGAGTAGTCGAAACTACAGTAATGCAAACTGTAGCAGTGCAAATCGCAGTAATAATTTCTTGCTTTTTTCTTTACAAACATTGCATTTTCTTATAAAAACCCCTTTTAAAGTCTTTTTCTAAAGTCAAAGTATCAAAATCAAGCGTCTATTGCGTTTGGGAGTAGTTCGGTATGAGGTGGTCCACACTGTAGCAGTCCAAATTGGAGTAGTTCAAATGCATGCAGTTCTTTTACAGTCAATAACAATCGTATATAAACGTGAGAAAAACGGCAATATAAAGCGTTGTTATGCACATGAACTTTCGTCACACGTTATTTGCCGTTATATTATTAGTGTGACGAAAGTTCCCGATGAGATGTGACGATAGTTGGAGGTATGTTCGCCTAGTGAGTTCATAAAAAGAGGATTTTTCTGCGATTTTATCTTCATAATTGCTTATGAAGTATGGCCAAAACCACATATAAAGTAATAGTGTTTCGATGAAAGAGCACTTTTATCTTTAATATGGATTAAAATTCCTGACCTAATAATGTACTTTTCCTTAAAATTCGTCACAAAAACCTGATTTTCTTAGTTGATGACTTGGCATGATTTTTCAGACCAAGTCACAAGTCAAATCAAGTCTTTTCAAAAAATATCCAAGTCAAGTAAAAAATGACTTGACTTGCCCAGCTCTGCTTCTGACTGTGAGCACCGTCTTTATGAACAATAACTACGACTGATTCGGTACACTTCAGCTGTATCCGATATTTGTGCAGAAAAAATTGTTGATTCAGATACTGCAGTAGAGGTTAAACTTGAAACAATAACTCATGGATGAAGGAAAAGTACTAGTTATATAACTAATATGATAGTTAGAAATCAGCTATATTTAAACTAATTAATTAACAACTCTAATGTAAGTCTTGCTAGTCTCTATATGTGTGTGTTGAATAAACACCTTTGCTGATTCGATGCATTTCAGACACACACGATATCTGCACTATTGAGCTGCTTATTCTGATCACGTGCTAATAAATTTTGAAAGCTTCTTTTTCTCCATAAAACGGGATAACCCTTTTGAGATAAACACTGTCGCATATGTAACTGACAGTGCTCTACAACTGCTTCCTCATTCCTCCTTGATAATCACCTAGAAAAAACATTCACTTCACCTTTGGAGCTACTGCTTCTGCTTCATCTTTAAATAACAGATCTTCAGTTGAAAGGACGAGGGCTTATAAGGGTCAAATAAATTTGATATTTCTAAACAAGAGTTACATATTCAGAATCCGCGTGAAAGTTTGCGTCGAATGAGGTATATGGCACCTTGGAAAAGCCATTTTCAATTTTTCGGAAAAGGATCCTGGCGGATTTGGTGACTCCCCTTGAAACAAGAAGCTAAGTATACAGTTTTGTAGAGCAGCTCAAGACGCATCGAACGGTATATAGTGAAGTTTGTTTTCATATCAGCATACAGGATCTAGAGTCAATTTTCTGGTTGGCCGTCACGATAGCCATCTGAACCTATATCGATCGATTTTAGTGTCAGTCACAAGAAGCGAAAAAAAATATTTCCAATCTATACTTGCGTAGATATCGTCTTGGGCTACACGCTGATATATTCGACGTTTCTGCTCGCCTCATATTGATGGAGAAAAATGAGGCTTTTTATCGATTTGTATGGTTTATCGATTTTAATGTTTCTCAGTATTTTGAGTCGTGTACCTCACAAGAGAAGTGAACAGAAGCCAAACTTTGCTAGAAACTGTG